TTAAGAGAGGGCTGTGTGAAGGTGTCTTGTAGAAGAGGAAAAGAGAGCAAAAGTCGAGACGAGAAGAGAGATCGTTTTACAAGACCGGGGAAAAATGGCGACGAGTGGTAAATGGTTCGGTGGTCGGGTGCTTTTAGCCACAGTTTGTGGCTAATTTTTCATCAAAATATATTTTTTCATAGGTAATTTAATTTCATTTTAATCACATATTTTTTAATAAAATAATATTACACGTAAAAAAATTATTTTTTAACCACAAATTTCTCATCATAACATTATTGAAAATGCCTTTTCTTTTTTCCTTTTTTTTTCTTTTTTTTTAAAGAAAATGGGGCTCAAATAATCCTTTAATAGGGTACCTTTAAAAACGGCACAGTCAAACAATGGAAATTGGACTTTGACCCTTTGACAAGGAAATATTACACAATGTCCTATTGATTGGTAAAATACAAAAATACTCTTGACTATATTATAAATTACAAAATATAGTTTTGTTTAAAAGATATTTTTACCATTTTAGTTAATAATTGAAAATCAAACACTTTTCACTTCAAATTTCAAAATCAGCTAACTTTTCTTATCTACTTACTTCAACTCAAATAAAAACTCTCTTCTTTCATCTACTTCAATCCCAAAATTTGAAAATTTTATCGAACGCTGAAGTCAAAAAAATTTTTATATCAATCTCGTCGGATCTGTAAGTATAATTACACTCTTTTAATTTGTTTTCGTTAAGTTATTGTACGTTTTAATCGATAAAATTTATGTCGACATATAATATAATTTTTTTAAGTATTTGACAAGAATTTTATTCCACGACATCCAGCCAACGAAGCAAACAGTTGGACAAACGGCTGTTAAATGCCAATGAGCCGGACAGTCGACTACTTTTTTTTCTATTTTTATTGCCGCTGATATTTTTCTAATAATTAAAAATTTGTTTCGTCATACAAATATAATTGTAGTCCCAATTTGTTACTTTAGTGATTTCGAATTGGATGAAAGAGATAATAGATATAGAAACGGACAAGTGATAGATGTGGTGTTATCACGATATTTATAACATCAAGTATATCACTATAATGATTTACAGAATAAGTTGAATATTGATCCGTCTCAGTATGAAGGGGAATTGAAATTTAAATTCAACAAGCATGCATCCATTTCGATTCCACTTATAGGGATTTCTTCTAATGTTGAAGTGAATTATCTGTTTAAATTGAAAAATAAGCACACGGCTCCTCTTTGCGTGACTTTAGTGAGGAAGGATGTCGTCGAATGTGAACACGTAGACTCAGACAGAGGGGGTCACAATACCAATGAATTTTGGAATACGGTGGAAATAGCTCATGAAAATGATATGGTTATTCTAGAGATAGTTGCACACAGAATTCCCTCCGTAGTTCACGACAACGATAATGAAGATGAAAATACATTTATAAAATGAGGATTTGATTGCTTTATCCCGTCAAAGACACGAGCGGGGTGGGACCTCTAGGGCTGGATCGAGTGGACCGTCCTCTAATTCCTCCTAATAATGTAGACCAGACCAGAAGCACTGTCCCTTGTCCCTGGAAGTACGTGTCGTATAGCCTGTTGCTTCTTTGAGCTGTTCATCGCCCGTAATCTTCAATCTAGTAATTAGGACAAAATCTAACATAGAGAATCTGGCGACTTTACCCCCCAGGTCAAAGTGGAGGGCGTCGCCGTCAACTGGACTCAACAACCGACTTAGCAATGTATCGATAATCTAACCTGAGTACTGCACATCTCTCAATTGGTGTAAGGGCCAAAGAAAGGACTGGCGAAGTATATCTACATGTTGATCATCCAACAACTCCAAGATGGTAATTTATCCTGCAAAATTCAAATGTTAAAACATTGTACAAGAATCATGAACAAAAACATAATAACAGGAAATTAACCAAACAGAATTGCAACTAATATATGCAGGACGTAGATTCATTTTATACCGAAACTAATAAAAAAAAATAGATTATTTACTAAAACGACAAGAATAAAAAAATAAATAGAAACAAAGAAAACTGACAGTCAGCCCACTACAATATTTGGTTGAAAAATATTATTTAATTTGTTAATTTTCAATTTAAAAGAATTCTTTTAATTTTAAAAAAAAATTATAAATAAAATGTAAAAAGTAAAAATAAATAAAATTGGGCCGAAAAAACAATCCCCCCACATTATTAAACAGTTTGGGCCGCTGACTGTTAACAGTCGACCTAGACGGTTAACATCGGGCTGTTAACACAATCGGGGCAACTCGACTATTTGGCCGACTGTCAACTATTAAAGTGGCTAACTGATGAGTGTAATTCACTCATTAAACTAACGCCTCTAAATCACGGGCTTTAGCTTGCTCTTGAGTACTTTTGAACGTTTTGATGTGTGTGTTCATGTTGTTTTGCAGTTCAATCAACATTCGAGTAAATGCCACAATTGGAAGCTTGTGATGAATCTAAAATGGTGATCATAAAATGGGGGCATGATTTAGAGATAAGAAAAGAGGATTGCATGATCAAAATTGAATGAATCAATGCTTTAAATTTGATGCTCGAGAGAGGAAAATTTAGACATTATCTGGAACAACATAACCTAGATTTTTAGGTTTCGAGAGAGTGCAAATCTTTGAAGTGTAAAACAAGAAGCAATAGTTTTAATCATCTTTATAGGTTTAATTGGAAATAGAGATATTGGGGTTAAAATATAAAGATAGATTCTATTGACGCTCGAGAGAGATGATAGAATTAAATTAGGGTTCTTGCCTATAAATTGGAAAAAATCGATGGAAATGGCTATAGAAGTTGAGACCATATTGATAATATCGTGAAATCAATCCCTAGATATCCATAATTTGATTTGATTTTTAGAAATTGTCTCACTTTACTTGCATTCTTTATTCCATTTAAATTAGGTTATCATAAAAACATCATTTAAAACTTGAAATTGTCTAAATAAAGTAAAAACCGAAACAATTATAGTACTTGGTTGAATTTGAATATCAATCATTGTGGGTTCGACACTTTTAAATTCTTTACTATATTACAAAACTTGACACCGTACACTTGCGATTAAATCACGCTATATAATCGCGTGGCAACTTTTTGGCACCGTTGTCGGGAATTGATTTATTCAAATTCAATTGATATTATTACCAATTAGCGTTCATTTTAATTTAGATTTTTATTTTTATCGTAATTTTTTTATTATCATTATTTTTTTTTTCATTTTGTGTCTATCTCTAATAGATTCATTGTGTTTATTTTTAGCTGTCTATGTGAAGGGTGAGGAATCTGAACCTACTACCTATTGATCTTGAACCAGAACGCACATTTCGCATTCTAAGGGACATACAAAGAAACGAACAAGAAGCAATGGCGGAACAGGAAGCAAGAGCAGCTAATGATGATAACCAACATAGGGCTATTCGGGACTACATAAGGCCCGTTGACAATGACAAATATTCCGACATCGCACACCCAGCAATTGCTGCAAACAACTTCGAATTGAAACCAGGGCTGATACATATGGTGCAGCAGAATCAGTTTAGGGGTGCTGCAACAGAAGACCCAAATGCTCATCTTGGATCCTTTTTGGAAATTTGTGACAGGGTAAAGATGAATGAGGTCACTGAAGATGCAATTAAACTTCGCCTGTTCTCTTTCTCTTTGAGGGATAAAGCAAAGGCTTGGTTTCAATCACTACCGTATGGCTCAATTACAACTTGAGATGATTTGGCTCAAAAATTCCTCACCAAGTACTTTCCACCTTCTAAATTAGCACAACTTCGCAGTGAGATTAGCCAATTCAAACAACTCAACTTGGAGCCATTTTATGAAGCGTGGGAAAGATTTAAAGACTTGCTTGGGAGATGTCCTCAACATGGTTTCCAGAAATGGATGCAGATTGAGATATTATACAATGGGCTAAATGGGCAGACAAGGACTATAGTAGATGCAGCTGCGGGAGGCATTTTAATGGCTAAAACAGCAAAGGCTGCCTATGCTTTATTGGATGACATAGCCACCAACAGTTACCGATGGCCAAGTGAGAGATCAAGCGTAAAGAAAGTAGCGGGACTTCATGAAGTGGATCTCGTCATAGCACTAGCAACTCAGGTTACATCACTCACAAATCAGATAGTCATGCTTACTACTCAAGGGATAGCCCAAGGCTAAGGAATCACGAGAACTTGTCATATGGCAACAATAGAAACACACTTCAACCTTCACCTGGATTCAACACTCAGAATCCTGAAAGGAAACCATCCTTGAAAGACATTCTTGGGACATTCATTTTTAAAACAAGATCACGCTTCAACAAAAATGAATTACGGTTGGATAATATTGAAACACGTGTCCAACATAGGAGCCACAATGAAGCATCTTGAAGTGCAAATTGGTCAATTGGCTACCTCAATGAAGTCTCAGCAACAAGGAAAATTTCCAAGTGATACAGAAGTTAACTCAAAGGAGCACTATAAGGCCGTTGAATTGAGAAGTGGCAAGCAAGTTGAAAAAAGTGAACATACCGAAGATAGCAACCCCACACCAGACAAGAAGAAAGAATAAGTAGTAGTAGACTAAGAAAAGCAGGCCAAAGGAACAAATAAGGCTCATAGACCTTACTCTATATCCTTCCCTGACAACCCACCAATTCTCACACCATCGCTTCCATTTCCACAGCATTTTCAAAAGAAAAAAAATTGATGATCAATTTCCAAAATTTTTAGAAATTTTCAAGAAAATTCTCATTAATATTCCTTTTGCCGATGCTTTGGAACAAATGTCAAACTACGCAAAGTTTATGAAGGAGGTGATG